TTCAGGCCATAAATAGATCTTTTCAATTTACAGACCTTCTTTTCTTGGCCTTTAACGATGAAGCCTACAGGTTGTTCCATGTAGATCTCTTCGTTTAGTTCTCCATTGAGAAAAGCTGTCTTCGCGTCCATTTGATGTAATTCCAAATCCAAACGTGCAACAATAGCCAAAAGTAAACGAATTGAGGTAAACTTCACAACTGGTGAAAATGTTTCCTCATAATCTATTCCAGCTTCTTGAGTAAAGCCTTTTGCCACCAATCGTGCTTTGTATCTTTCTATTGACCCGTCCACTTTGTGTTTAACTTTGAGAACCCATTTGTTCCCAATGGCTCTACGCCCAGGCGGAAGATCAACTAGATCCCAGACTTTGTTGGTTTTCATGGACTGTAATTCTTCTTTCATTGCTTTCATCCACTCATTTTTTCCAGGGCTCGATAAAGCCTCAGTCACAGACTTCGGCTCATCCATCTCTGTGGGAGATACCAAGAAAATATAATCTTCAATTTCATAAGTACGTTTGGGTATATTTTTCCTGGCACTCTTTCGTAGTTGAAATTCAGGTTCGTCAGAAGGATTTTGGAATTGAGAGTTCCCACTCCCACTCCCACTCCCACTCGGATCAAGAATAAGATCTTGATCAATTTGATTATCAACTGTGTCAGGAGATACTTGCTGACTATCTGAGTTCAACATTTCATAAAGAGGCTCTCCATTCTTTACCTCGCCCTTCTTTGGAAAATCATTTTCTAGAAATGTGACATCTCGTGATTAAATCTCAGTAACACTTCCATCCTCTAATTCACCAATGAACACATACCCTTTGGAGCGTTCTGAATATCTTATAAAGATACATTTTTTGCCTTTTGGACCTAATTTACCAAACTTGCTAAAGGAATCTTTTACATATGCAGCACAACCCCAAGGTCGTAAATCCTTTAAGTTTGGTTTATGACCAGTCCATAGCTCATAAGGAGTGGAAGAAACTGATTTAGAAGGCACTCTGTTCAATATATAAGTTGCAGTCAATAACGCATCTCCCCAAAAGGAGATAGGTAAATTTGTCTGCGCCATCATAGACCTTATCATGTCCAGTAGTGTTCTATTCCTCCTTTCTGCTACACCATTTTGTTGAGGTGTGTGGAATAGTTAACTGTCTGGTGATTCCCTTTACATTGCACAATCCTTCAAATTCTTTTGAAAGATATTCACGTCCTCTATCGGTTCTTAAGGTCTTAGTCCTTTTGTCTAATTGATTCTCAGCTTCATTCATATATTTCTTAAAGCATTCAAGTGCTTCAGATTTATGAGAGATCAGATAGACATAACCAAAGCGTGTGAAATCGTTAATGAACGTAATGCAATATAAAGCACCAGACCTAGCCCTCACATTCATTGGACCACAGATATCAGAATGGATTAATTGCAATGGAAAATCAGCTCTCGTAGCCTTTCCAAATGATTTACGTGTAATCTTTCAAGCAAGACAATTTTCACAAGTTGGCATTTCAATTTTAGAGAAAGGACCTAGATGTCCTTCCTTAGCCAATCTATTCATTCGATCCTGCCCTATGTGACCTAATCTTGCATGCCATGTAATAACTTCAACATCATTGTTACTAGAATAACATGCCATAACACAACGGTCAACATAATAATTATACGTAGAAGGATTACAATCTAACACAATAAAACTATCATAACGATGTCCATAACCATAAAAAACATTATCTTGAGTAATTCTAAGACCACTGCGACTAAAGTTCAAATGAAAATCTAAATCTAGAAGAACAGACACAGATACTAAGTTTCGTCGAATCTCTGGAACGTATAGGACGTCATGCAACATCAAAGATCGGCCACCACGCATGTCCATTCTGCAAGTGCCTATCCCTTTGACTTCAAGCTTTGCATTATTTCCCACATATACATGCTTTGATCCAGGTGGAACTCAACGAAACTCTATAAACGCTTCTCTATCGTGGCTCACATGGTCGGTGGCCCCTGAGTCTACAATCCACACAAGATAAGATTCAGTTAGTAAAGCAGTGCTATAAACATATATAGCACTAAGAGATGCGTTTTGAAATGCTACCTTTTTCGGCTCGGTGCACTCACGAGCAAAATGCCCTGGAACTTGGCAATTGTAACACTTCATCTTGCTCTTGTCTTTCTTCTTATAGAACCGTTTTCTTTTCTTGGAATTTGGCTTGTTTCTTTTCTTGGAGGGTCCTTCTCCGGTCTCCTTACCCTTTCCGTCATTTTTCTAGTTTCTCTTGCACTTGAAGCTTGATCTCTTTGTACCACTTGATTCTGCCACAAAGGCATTAGGTACAACTTTAGCAGCACCAAGCCGCTTGTCTTCAAGCTCCACATGACAGGCAACATCAGCAAAAGTTTTGATGCTATCATTGTGGGTCAAGTTAACCTTCAAATGTTCCCAATTATTGGGAAGAGACCGAATCACTGCCTGAACCTGCTGCTCATAAGAGGGAACATGACCAGCACTTTTGAGTTGAGCAATCATATTTGACATCACCCTTAGATGTTGCTTGACACCGTGATCATGACGCTTTTTGTACGTGTCAAACTTGATTGTCAGCTGACGAAGGCGAGTCACAGTCGTACCCCCATATGCCTCCCTTAAATGTGCCCACATGGCTTGAGCAGTGGGATATTGCTCACATTCGTGGATGAGATCATCAGCAACTGAACTTACAATAATTCCACGTGCAGTGGAATCTTTCTTTTTCCAAACATTGTAGGTTTCCAGATCCCTCCTGTGTTGGGCGGTGTTACCCTCCTCTGGGTGACTCATAACATGGTTAATACTTTCAAGAGCATCTTGCTCTTCGAGTACATACCACATCTTATGACTCCAGATATCGTAATTTTCACCATTCAGTTTGTCACCCTTGTTCAAGTCAGCAATGATACTTTTTGATGCCATGTCTGTTATTGGAGACAATATTACAAGTTTAACTCATCAATATATACTTCAGTTAATTTATGCATGTGATTACACACTCAAGAAAATTAATTATAATATTAATTCTACATTTAATATAGAATCGAACAGTCACTAAGTTTCCATTCATCATCTATATCTAAATATTTTTAATCAATATTAAGATCACTTCTTAGTGTGCACATATTTAAGTCTCAATCCATTATAAAAGGATATAATAAATAATGTATGTAACTAGTGAGACAAAAAACATAATATAAATTTCATTAAAATAAAACACATAATAACAATTTACATGTTTGCTAGGACATCCATATACCACTCGAACACTAACTCTTTCTCATATACGCTAAAAGGTGCACTAGGCCAAACATCATAATAAATCTCAGTTAAAATTTCACCCCCAAGGCTCTCGAAGAGAGTCCACTAAAATAGCTGATGCTTCCCAATCAGTAATTTCTACGTAATTAGCCAATTCAACTCTTTTTATCTTAAAGAGGTGTACATGTTCAGGAACGGAAACATCAGGGCCCATTTTAAATTCCTTAAACTCCCTAAATTGTGTTTTCTCTTTCTCTTCGTTCAGCCCTTCGATCCCTTAACTGATTTTGTCTCGCCCTTGGGACATTCCTGATGACTTCAGGCTCCGAGTCTGAATCATTATAGAAATAAGTCCTGCGACGACGTACCCTTCTACGTTATCCCCTTCCTTGTCTTCGAGAACTCCCATTTGGAGTAATTCGAACTTGTCCCTGTTCAGCCATATCTGAAATAGGACCAAGGAAACAATAAGAATGGCTACAACCACTCAATGTGACAAATATATCACAATTATTTGTAGAAGGATATCTATCGAGGGATTATGACTAAACTAATTTTCCATTTACTGAAACAGACAATGTTTCTTTTTCAGAGTATAGGGTGTTCCATTGTTTAAGCTAATCAACTTCAATTATATAGCTTAATCACAGTCATAATTCAGAATAAAACAAACGTTACATTCGTGTTCACAAGTAATTTCGTTGTTGAACTGGACAAGGAGACGTGTAAATCGGAATCTTAGTATGTGAGCAAAATCTCAGTATACTTCGAACAGAAAACTCCTCCAGAAAAAAAAAAAAAAAAAGAATTCCCACGAGTTAGAGAAAATTACTTGTAACAAGGATATGTTGATTGGGTAAGACAATTACTTGGAAAAAAAAACGTCTGCAATTTTTAAAGGATTCATTATAAGAAATCTCAGTAATTTCTATATACCATATCCTAACGCCTCCAGGAAAAAAGTTCACGGCACAAAAAAAAAAGAACAGCGCCTTATTTAAACAAAATCAGTAACGAAGTATATATCATGGTGGCAGCAACAAGGAGCAAACAACCCTGGCTTTGATGCCATTGTTTGATTAATAAGCGCGGGGCGAGAACAATATTAGCGTACCTGTCAACGTAGCGGAAGAATTGTTGAACTCACCACCGAAACAATTGCCCCAAACCGAACTTTGAATCACTAGGAAACAAAGTTAATCTTCCACCAATTAGATGCCCTTACTTGTGTGTGCTTTTCGTTGAGAGAAGAAGAGATTTAGAGAAAATTCTTACGGTGCTCTGTTCTATATTGTCCCCTTTAGATAAATAGGGAGAGTAATAGCGGTTAAGGAAGATAACCCACCACTCACCCTTTTGCACGTTCAGTTTAGTGGGTGTTTGTGTTTTAGTGGTACCTCTCTCCCTTATCTCTCATAACCGGGTCGGGTCAGCCCACATGGAGCGACCCATGACCCATAATCCAACATGGGAGTTCTTATATACATATTGGTATAGACAAAGAAGAAAAAAAAAGTTGTGATATACATATTATTTTGTGAGATACATTTATTGGCTATTTGATGCCAATAACTATAACTAGGGATATTTTCTACCAATTATATGTATTTGTTGTTATACCATCCCAAAACCCTTTTTAACATTTGGTTACGGCCTGCATCATCTAATTCAAGCTTTTGAAAAAATTGAATAAGGAAAAGATATGGAAGCCGAAAGAACATGGATTAGTTAACTACATCCAAAACAAAGGTTCTGTCAAGTGGGCCTAATTAATGGTTCGAGTAGGCGAAGTGTGATCTGATTTGACCGAAAGCCCAAATGATTCAACCCAAATTCACACTCAGCTCCATTATACTTTTTCAGCAGAGGAGAAAAGCAGCAGAGGAGAAGAGAAAATGGGGAGAAGGAAGGGAGTCCAGTTCGATGAAGGAGCTCCGGATGACTTCGACCCGGACAATCCATACAAGGACCCGGTGGCTTTCTTCGAGACGAGGGAGCATTTAGTTAGGGAGAAATGGATCGACATTGAAAAGGCGAAGATACTCCGTGAAAAGCTGCGTTGGTGTTACCGTATAGAGGGTGTGAATCACCTTCAGAAATGTCGACACCTTGTCCATCAGTACCTTGATTCCACTCATGGTGTTGGCTGGGGCAAAGACCTTCGCCCCCCTGCTCTTCATGGTCAGTATTGTGTTTCTGCAAAGACTAATTTTTTTTACTGTTGTTCTTGTTATACTTAAATTAGGTTTTGGATTGCAGGTCCAAAGGTTGAAGCTTTGGGATCGTTATGATCATTTTCTTTGGTCCAATTTCTCAGGTACTTTTCTCTCCTCATTCCGTTTTTACTGGATTGGAACTGTCTTCTTGTGCCTCTGATTCGATGATACATTTGTTTTGGTTGTGGGGTGGGAAGGAGGGGAGGGGGGAAGTTAGTGAGATACCCAAAGTTATGATTCTACTTTGTTGTGTTCTGTAAATCATACATAGTGCTTGAAAATGTGAGGTTTTTGAATTGTCCAAAATGTTGTAAGGACCTCAATAGAGCAGAATGAGTGAAGGATTTACATAACATACAACAACTATTGGGGATTGAGGCGAAGTTGGTTGATTGTTAGTTAAGGAAAGAAATAAATGCACTACATTCTGATTTCTGAGTTTTTGTTACTCTTGGATTGGATACTTATATATTGTTTTTAAATTCACCCAAGAACACATATGACCTCAAATAAAGAAAGTGGAAGGGTAAAAGATCACCAAAGTGACACACATGAAATGCATATCATAGTGTCTGGCGAAACGCCACCAAAAAAAAACTTCATGAGATAGAGTTACAGAATTCTGCATAACCTCTTTACCTCTCTTAATCTTCCTCTTCATTATCCAGCTACTAGATTGCAGTCTCTTTTATAGCTCTTCCATCTGTTAAAACCCTAATATTTTCTTAACGCCTTCCATACATTTTTCGAAAATTTCAAGCCAAGTCATATTGAACCTAAATCATTCATAATTTTGATAATTTTGGTGCCCGTATGAGTTTTTGCGCACCTCGACTAATCCACCGAGTAGCCACTACTTTCTACTATCGTAGGTACTAGGTAACTCTAACCATCAAGTTTGCCTACAAGTCTTAGGCAAATGAAGGATTCACCTATTTTGTTGCCTGTGATTGAACCTCGGTGGCTACTTGAGATTTCGCAATGTTCATATTGTGAACTACATTTTTTTTTTTGGGTTTTGGGGGGGGGGGGGGTGTTTGTTGTTTTAACATCCATGTGTTGTAGTGCAATACTAGTTTTAGTTTACTGCTCCAATGACTCAACACATTTAACTTTATTTACTGAAAATTAAAAATGGTGTCAGCTACATCACCACGAAAAGGTTCACAGATTTGGCCTTCAAAGTTTCACCTCAATCCCCTTCTGTTGCTAATGTTCCGTCCAAATGCATCAAAATCTTTTCATGCACATTGGTATCTTACACTCCAAAGTTTAACCTCATTGCATGAGTTTCCCTTTTCGGCATCCACCTTTACTCTTTAGGATGCCAAAGCTTGAATTAACTAAATCACTAAATATATGCTCATGCTAGTTGCTTACCCTTTTTAGCTAAGCTGTATTTTGTTGAGTGAGACTAAAAAATAGAAAGTTCAAGGGCTACCCTTCTCCGTGATTCTTGATTTGTCTTCAAGGGACCCCTTATATTATAAGTTTCCAAGGGGTTGAGTAGGGGTCTATTTGAAAGTTCACAAATTAAAAAGATTAGAGAAAGGATTTTGTAGGAGGTTAGTAGGGATATATAGTGAGAAAGAATGAGGAATCACAAAAGATGATGAGGTTGTTTACATTAAATTTATTCTCTGTTGATTCGATCAGAAGGACTAATAAGTATTAGCTCGTTTCAAGCATATTGAAGGTTAAATATGCTATGTGTAACTACACAAAGAGTGTAATTGAGTTTAAGAAACCAAAAAAATTGAACTTGATCGATGCCATATGGAAAAGAAATAACTATGCTATAACTTGAGGAACAAAATTGTTAATTACCCTTAGGAAATATGGATGAGAATTTTTTTTTTGATTTGCACCGGGTGTCCGAGTCTCTAAGAGCCCCGACTAATCCCGGGGGTGCACAGGCCCTCGGCAAGAAGTTTCCCGCAAGTGGACCACGGTTAATTCAGGTTTTACCCAGTCCGATGGCCCTCAGAAATTGTTTGCACCCAGTGGGTTTCGAACTTGAGACCTTGAAAGGGAGCAAACCCCAAGGCTCAAGTCTATTGCCACTAGGCCAACCCCTGAGGGTTAGGAAATATGGATGAGAATTATAACAGCTTTCCGGTTCTGATCCCTCCCATACCACTTTCACTGCTATCTCTAGGTTCATTACCACAGATTCTTTTACCTCCATTCAGAAAGAAATGAATGTACCGAAAGAATCTCATCCTTACAATTTCCACCGCTGCCTTTTAATTAGTTGCCCCACTAGTGGGATTTTACTGGGTATTGTTGTTGTTGTTGTTTGCCTTTTAATTAGTTGCCGGACAGTTGAAAGAGCAATCTATGGCTGAAACTTGCAGGTTATGGTGCATCATAGGAGATGACAAATTTCAGCAAAAAAATTCAAATAGGATTGCCGATTGGGGCTATCTGATTTCAAATGACACTTTAGGATGGAAAGTAAGATTCTTTGGTCTCTCATGTAATTATGGACAATCATATGGATAAATTGTGTCTAGTCCCAAGCCGGGAATGAGTTGTGTGGTAGGTTGATGGCCAGCATAGAAAATACTCCAATTATGATGAATTATGTGTATACTAAATGAACGGTATAGATACTAATTTATTTACCTGACCCAATTAATTGATAGAATGGTCTAATGCAGTGTTTCACATGTTGGTGTGATATTCTGCAAAAATTGATTATGTTAAATCTGTTGGTTCGATTGTAAAATTTTAAAAGGAGTATTCGCAAGTTGGATTGTCACAAATTCTTTGAGCTGTAAAACACTCTTATTTGACTAATTCCGCTGAAGCTAAATCATGCAGTTGCCTGCGTCGCCACACCTCGTTAATCTATCCTTGTTTGGTTGTTTCCAGTCAATTTTTCTGCAAATTCTAATTTGCAATGTATCCTTGTTTTGCTGAGCTGTTCGAAGCTTACTCTCCCTCTTCCCATATGCACCCGAGAATACATGGATTGAAATGTGTTTCCTTTCCAAAGGTGATTCTCTTTCCTGTTAGTGGTCGTTTGGTAGGGTGTATAAGAATAATGCTAAATAAGGTGTATTAGTAATGCAGGGTTAGTACTGCAAGCATTAATTATACAGAGATTATTTCTTATGCATTGTTTGGTGTGGTGTATTAAAAATTAAAATGCATTGCATAATTTTTAAGAAAATTAAGTGTTTACAAAAATGCCCTCCATATTCTTTAATTATAAGGGACTTTTAGGATAATTTTATCTTTAACCATGCTAATGCATGCATTAATAGCCTTTGTATTGCTAATGCCATGATTTCCTATGCATTACCTATACATAGGATAATACCAAATAGTGTGTAAAACTAATGCTTGTATTAGTTATACATAGGTTGAAAAAGTGTACCAAACAAGGTATTACTAAAATACAGAGCTAATGCATGCATTATTTTCTCTAACACACTCTACCAAACGACCTCTTAGACTTATAAAGTGGAGAGTTTTGATGGATTACCAACTGATAGGCCTCATTCTTTTGCTATTTTTTGTCATTTGCTCCACTAAGAAGTAAAAGACCTGTTTCGTGATAAAAGTGTAAATGTAAAGATGCCAATGATTTGCATTGGCTTTTAACTTCAGCTTTTGCTTTTCTTGGAACAGATATATCATGATGGACATAAACAAAAGGTGAAAATATAACTGGGAAGATGCCAATAGTTGCATTGGCTTTTAACCTCAGCTTTTGCTATTGTTAGAAACATATGTATGTCATTACTGGAAATAAAGAGAAAAAATCATTGCCGTTTGCTTTGTTTCGTCCTCATCCTAAATGGTGATATTCAGCCAGTCCCTAAAGCTGATCAAAACAGAATGTGAAAGATTAATGTGTGAATTGAGGACTTTCAGATAAGACTAAATGGAGCTTTTATTATCATTTCCGTATTATGTTAGTCTTCGATTTCGATTTTTATTACTACTTGTTGTCTCCCTTGATTCGGTTTTCTTATTGCTTAATTGTGTTGGTTTTGTTATTGTTCTTGTCTTCATTATTTCAACATGACTCATTATTTTTAACATAGCTTCTTCACTATTGTTTTTCTTTGTCAAACCTGCTGAGAGATGCTTTTTTTTAGCCGAGGGTCTGTCGAAAGTAACCCCTCTACCTTCACAAGGTAGGGATAAGGTCTATATGGTAAAAACTTACCCGCACCGGGTGTTTATACCAAGCCAATAGATATATGACATGTGTCTTGCATATGGATTTCAATCATTTAACCATAGTAAATTACATGCATTCTCATCTAATTAAATTAATTAACCATAGTGAGTTAATATAGTTTGGTGTGAACACCCGGTGTGGGTAAGTATTTACCAGGTCTATATACATATTATTTTCACCCGATTTCACACTATGAGAATACTCCTACACTGGATATGTTGTTGTTGTTGACATGAGTCATGAGTTCCGGAAAACTAGGCAAGCAGGAACGAGCCATAATTCTAAAATAGGCTAATAATTTCTTGTAGTTTAGTGAAACCGCTACTTATGTCAGCTTTTGTGGTACAAGTGCGTATCACTAAACTCCTCACTGATGTCAAAGGACAAACTGCTCTTGCATTTTATCTTTTATTGCAAATTGTACAGTTTAGTATGGTTAAAGATTCAAATTTATCCCAAAATTATCGATTATGGTACAAATATATTTTCATTAGAAGTTCTCTACAAAAACACACTCGATGCTATCCACGCACATTGCATGTACCTTTATTTAAAACGGAGCTGCAAAATTAAGAGAGGTTAAATATCGAATCACGAAGATGAAACAAAATTTAATAGAGCTTATATCTTAATTTTTTTAAAATATTTTTCACTCCTCTTGTAAATAAATTATAAATAGATATAGATAGATATCGTGTTTGTCGCAAAGCCGCCTTCCTACTAAGCTATTAGATATACCTAGTGTTATGTCAATCCTTTTTAGTTGTTGACGTGATATTCTGATGGCCTATGTTTTAGTTAATTAAAGCTTATGTCTTTAACTCTTTCCAAGCTGTATCTATCCAGAACGAATTAATCTCTCCAAAGCATACCTACACCGCCACACAGAGCATAAAGATATGTGATTCATCAATTAATCTATATACGGTCAAAATCGGGCTTGCCTAATTTTGTTGATTAATCGGAGCCAGGGGAATGGGTCGAAGATCGGCCTCATAGCATGTCAGACCAAGACACGAGGTACCGAGTTCGGAATTCGAGGTACCTGTCGGATCGAGACCAGTAATAAACAAGATCAAACTCGAGCAAGACCGAAGATAGCATAATAACGAAAAGACGAAATATCCGTGACTAGCCGAGAATCACAGCGGAAATCTCGGAACAAATCAAATCAAGGACGTTTATCCAGCTAATCATGGGATTTCCTACTGTAATTAGAGTTATACTGTAAATAGTATTCCCCTACTATATAAAGAGGGTCTTAACCGTTTGTAATGATCTTACATTCATGCATATCAAAGCAATACAATACTCTTTTCTCTTATACTCTCTTGTTCATCAGTTTGTTTCATAACTCTACTCTCATTCACTTAGTTCGAGGGCGACCTAGCTCGAGGGCTGAATTGTATTTTAATACTGGTTTGCATTACTTTGTTGTTTATTTCTACTATTAATCATCATATTTATATATTGGTGCTAGGTGAAATTACATATCCTTAAAATCACTTATAAGTTTAATTGTTATCCGATTTTAAGGGTAAACAATTTGGCGCCCACCGTGGAGCTAAGGATAATAGTGATTGCATGGTATTAATTCTCATAACACGTACTGCTTTACGCCTATTCTTGTAAGTGTCTTTGATTTCAGGATCAACATGTCGAACTCTCAAGTAGCACCCACACATACAGACAATGGCCTTGGTTTCCACGGTGAAAACGACAACATAGCCGCCCCGGGAAACGGAGTGCCTCCAGTCAACCCCGGTGGACCCCCGGCCGTGGACCCAATTGACGTCTGCTCCCATATTGCCATTAATGGGAATTTGGGCGTCGACCCTGAAAATAGCATCCGCAGAGATGCTCGAGCAGCCGATCAAACGCACAGAGCGGTGAAGAAGGCAGAATTAGCCTTCGAATGATATTCGAGATGATGTAGACTCAACAAGCGGCAATAGCATAACTCCAAAATCAAAATCGTGCACCAAGCAGAATCGAGCTCGAGCCATCGCAAGAAGTTGTTCATAGAGCCGAATCGGTGCCAAAGAGATGGAATGAGGGAGAATCGGAGACTAATCCCGCTATCGTAAAAATGCTCGAGGAACTGACGAAGCGAATCGAGACATGGGAAAAGAAGATCGAGGAAAATGATAAGAAGATGGAAACTTATAACTCCAGGGTTGGCCAAATCCCAGGGGCACCGCCGGTATTGAAAGGACTTGATTCCAAAAATTTTGTCCAAAAACCTTTTCCCCCAAGTGCGGCTCCGAAGCCAATCCCAAAGAAGTTCCATATGCCCGAGATTCGAAAGTATAACCGGATGACAGATCCAAACGAACATGCCACCTCATATACGTACGCCATTAAGGGAAATGACTTGGAAGATGACGAGATTGAATCCGTGTTGCTGAAGAAATTCAGAGAAACTCTATCAAAGGGTGCCATGATATGGTACCGCAATTTACCACCTAATTCTATTGATTCATTTTCTATGCTTGCAGATTGTTTTGTGAAGGCGCACGCTGGAGCTATTAAGGTTGCAACTAGAAAGTCAGACTTGTTCAAGGTACGGCAAAAAGACAACGAGATGCTCAGGGAATTCGTATCTCGATTTCAAATTGAACGGATAGATTTGCCACCGGTCACTAACGATTGGGCTGTTCAAGCCTTCACTCAAGGTCTCAACGAACGGAGTTCCATAGCTTCGCAACAATTAAAGCAGAATTTGATCGAATATCCAGCCGTCACTTGGTTCGATGTACATAATCGATATCAGTCGAAGATTAGGGTCGAAGACGATCGACTGGGAGCTCCAATTGGTTAGATTTATCCCAACCGGCCCGTGGACAGAGTTAAAAGGGACGTCGACCGGGAACCACGATCGAACAGAGATTGATATCAGCCATACTGTGGAGATCGAAGAAATAACGGGCCTAGGCGCAACCCCGTTCGGAATGATAAGGAATGATTGGGGACAGATCTTCCGAGGGCTCATGAGCAAGAGTGGTTTCGATAGGGATACCGGGTCCAGAGAAGCACCTCAAATGTTAGAATATAACTTCAGCGTAGATGCTTCCGCCATAGTATCGGCCATTGGGCGTATCAAAGATACCAGGTGGCCTCGACCTCTACAGACCGATCCGACCCAGAGAAACCCAAACCAAATATGCAAGTATCATGGCACCCATTGGCCATAAAATAGAAGATTGCAGGCAGCTAAGAGAGGAAGTAGCCCGATTATTCAACGAGGGGCACCTTCGAGAATTCTTAAGTGATCGAGCATGGAACCTCTTCAAAAACAGAGATTCAAACAGACAGAACGAGCAGAAAGAGCCACAGCATGTGATTCACATGATCGTTGGAGGAGTCGATGTTCCTCAAGGACCGGTATTTAAATGCACCAAGGTAACGATCACAAGGGAAAAGAAATCTCGGGACTACTTACCAGAAGAAACCTTGTCTTTCAACGACGAGGATGCAAAAAGGATCGAACAACCTCACAACGACACACTCATAATATCTATCCTTATGAATAAAATTCAAGTTAAACGTGTGTTGATTGATCCAGGTAGCTCGACAAACATTATTCGATCAGGGGTCGTAGAGCAACTCGGCCTCCAAGATCAAATTGTGCTCGCAGCTCGGGTACTTAACAGCTTTAACATGGCAAGTGAAACCACCAAAGGGGAAATTATCTTACTGGTAAACGTGGCCAGAGCCATGCAGGAAACGAAGTTCCATGTAATCGAGAGTGACATGAGGTACAATGCCCTGCTCGGGAGGCCTTGGATCCATAAAATGAGGGCGGTACCCTCGACCCTTCACCAAGTTCTAAAGTTCCCGACATTGGAGGAAATCAAAACGGCATATGAAGAGCATCCCACCGCCAAGGAGATGTTCGCAACCGATGAAGTGATACCGGTGTCAACACTTCCGTCAGCAAATGGATTGAATTCAATGGGAAAGAAGGAAGTCAAATAGCAACCACAGTCACCAGCCTCGGCCCGATCGGAGGAGCAGGGAACTTTTGAGGATGATGATTATATGATACCTCGAACCTTCATAATCCTCGATGATTCTGACGCAACAAAGTCGACGTTCGAAGAGCTGAAACAAATTATACTGATCGAGCATCTGCCCGATCGAAAGATATACCTAGGCACGGGGTTAACTCCCGAGCTCAGGAAAAAGCTTATTCAATTCCTTTTAGATAACATAGATTGATTTGCTTGGTCCCATCTCGATATGATCGGGATCCCACCAGAGATAACTACCCATCGATTAAGCTTGGACCCGAAGTTCCGCCCGGTAAAGCAAAAGAGAAGACCCCAGTCTGAGGTTAAGCATGCATTCATCAAGGACAAGGTAATCAAATTTCTCAAAATAAGGTCCATTCGGGAAGTAAAATACCCCGAATGGTTAGCAAACGTAGTGGTAGCCCTAAGAAGGGAAATAAACTTAGAATGTGCATAGACTATAAGGACTTGAACAAGGCCTGCCCTAAGGATTCTTTTCCTCTGCCGAACATCGATCGCATGATCGATTCCATAGCCGGCCACGAGATTCTCAATTTTCTCGATACCTACTCCGGGTACAATCAAATACAGATGAACCCGGAGGATCAGGAAAAGACTTCGTTTATCACTAAAACGACACCTATTGTTATAACGTAATGCCGTTCAGACTAAAAAATGCGGGTGCAACTTATCAACGCCTAGTAAATCGAATGTTCGAAGAACAAATAGGGAAATCTA